TCAAATGATTTTCTTTGTGATTTTTCATTGTTACAATATTAATGGATTGTTAGATCTAGTCTCACCTCAGTGATCTTGGGCTTCTCTGAGCTTACAAGATTACGGCAAGAGCCGAAGCTCCCACATAAAAAATTTTTTGTCTAACAGGAAAAAAAACAAGAAAAAAATATACCTTGGGAGATTGTTAGATAGAACAAAATTGAAAATATACATATATATCTTTAAGCCTTCAGAGATGTTAGATCCATATGATGACTCATTAAGAAGGTAATTTTATTTTTTCAAATTCATAGAAAATTTTTATTCAATAATACATAAATTACACTTTTATTTCTTTTTCTTAAATAAAATTTTAAAAAATATAGTTTTAATGCAAATATCTTGACATAAACTTTAGATGTTGAAAATATGATTGTTTAATAATAATAATTGATAAAAATGATAAGTCAAAAAATAAATGTATCAAATAAAAAATTTGATATTTGTGTAGGAAAAATGATATTGTAAAAAAATTCGTCAGCAGAATTTTATAAATATAGAATATTTTTGGCAGATGTATTCTTAGAGTATTTTCTTATCCATTAAACTAAATTGGAACATTTTCAAGATTTGCATTAATTTTCATTTCATGATTTTTATTTTAAAAATTATCAAATATTCTGCCTCATCGAAAACCTATCAAAGAGTAAATGTAGAAACAATAATCTAGCTGGATTTTACACAAAATATTCTTTATGTTTGAAGTAGACACAAATGAAATAGTTCTAACTTACCATCATAACATGTAAGTTAATAGATCAGATATCAATATACGTTTTCAATTGAAAGATAAATAAAAAATTCTCATACATTTGTGTATTCTGAAGATGTAATATCATACTATAATTCTCACAATTTGATTTTCTTCAAATCAAAAATATATAGACGTAAAAGAGGTGTTCTTCAACTAGCACACAAAAAGATCATGTTCTAGGTATATAAACCATAGTATTTGTGCGTGTTAAGTTCAAATCAACCTAGATCAAATTGAAGTTCCTTTTACCGTGCGATCTAAAAAAAATTAAGATCAATTTTTCTCTGTGGATTGATCTTCATAAATATGTAGATTTGTTACCTAAAGTTTTGGTGATGAATAATATTGGACAGAGCTGGTCTTCCACGAGTGTATGGCACAATCAAATGTTAACAGTATCGAATATATGCAGTTAAGAACTGAAGAAATCATAATTTTCCCAACAAAAATGAATGAAGAAAGACTAAATAAAATATACCGATCCGAAAAAGTATCTACTTTTCTTCTGGAGCATAAAGAGTACTCTGAGAACATTAAATAGCAAAAGGAGACGAGCTATTATCACCGAAGAACTGTCAGTTCACTCATTCAGCGCTGTCTGGATTTTAGCCTACCAATCTCTGGACTTTTAGTCTCACTGAGAATATATGTAACCCAATCTAAAGAAGCAATGAACCTGACCGATAGAAAACCAAATCATACCAATCTTGCGGAATGCAATGAGTAAACCTTACTACAGAACTCACGTATATCTTGAATATGCAAACTCTCGATCAAATGTAGTAATATCCGAAGGAGAATCAAAAATCGCGAATTGTGTTTTTTCATTTTTTAATATCGCTGGCGTCGTTAACCATGGATTAAGTAGATGTAAAATGAAAAAGAGGATCTGCTACATATGATTGCCTCGGATGAAAAGGAAAGGCTCGGAAAGGAGAAATGAAATAGATGAGAACGGGTTCGATCGAGTAAGAAGACGAAAGCGAACACGAATAATGACAGAATGAATGTTGGGCAGTTGGGGCAGCGTCAGAATCTTGCTGTTGGGAAGTGAGACAACACAGGAAAAGCGGGGTTCGTGACTGCTGGCCTACTCCGCCCGCAGTCCACGCAGTAGCAACGATAACCATGAGGTCATTCTTTGACCGGACAGCAGCTTCGAGCCAACCACAGTCCGCAGGCTCCGCAGATCTTGCACGTCACTGTCAGATCTGCACGTCAACACGTCAGAATACCAAATCCCATCCTCATCATGTCATTATGCGCCCATCATCCTCTTTATGAAACACGATCTTCTCATCATGATGCGCCTGGATTTCGCGACCCCACCAGCCTACCCTGCCCTTTACTACGGTAGCCTGGCTCACCTCACTCGCCCTACCACGTCGACCGCGAAGTTCCCTCCACACTAACCCTTACTATTCCTCACCCTGGTTACTTCCCCGACTCGACTCAATACATCACTCCAGCCACCACGCCACACCAGTGCACACACGCAAGGGATGGAAGTGTCAAACATTATAATCAAAATAATCCTTTCCGATTATTATTTCTACATTCCAACCTCCAAATTTTCAAAATAGTAAGGATTATATTTGTTAATATAATTTTTTTAGCTCGAAAATTTTGAAATATATACATTCGCTTCGTTGAAAAAAAGAATGTACCAACCAAATTAGAAAATGATTTATCATGTTCAAAAAGCACATGTTTCACTAAAATTGTCTCACCAGCATTCGGTAGATTGTGAAATATCTGCGACGTGAGCGAGAGCACCCTTTTATGAGAGGATATGGATGTCTTGGTTTGGGAATCTTCTCGATCGAATAATCTCGCAACAAGACCAGCAGCAGGTCCAGGTCTGTTCAACAGAAAACAGGCCACTGCAGAGGGAGAGACATGGAAATGTATTAGAATACACAGCACAAGATAAAGATCACACAAAAGGGATTCGGTGGAATGTTTATCGCATCAGACGGGACAAGGAAAGGAGAGAGGAGGAGTCTCGACGCCAGATTTATTCTATTCGATGGCGATGGTTTTGATGAGATTTCTGGGTGCTGCCTGCCTGCCTGCCTGCCTCCGTTACCAAGATATCATCCATACTCGTGATATATTTGGTTCCCCAGATCGATAACAATCACTATAGAGCGGGCGAAAAGGTGCATGCGCAATAGTACAGGCATGGTGGTGGTGGTAGTAGTAGCACCAGCAGCAGCAGCAGAGGAGAGAAGAGCATAGCAGAGGCGGCTAATGGCATGTCTTCCTCATGAGCACTTTTCCAATCATCTCGTATGTCGTCCGTCTCTCACTCTCCATTGCTTTTGCAGCCCATAAATGCCAATGGCTGCTTTACTCCATCTACCAAAGTCAAGATATTTGTCCTCACACAAGAACACACTTCTTTTTGCTGCGAGTTCCAGGCCAATATTCCCGATCCAAGTGTATTTGTGTAGAGCTTACGAAGCCAAGTGATCAATGATTGCCATTCAAATTCATGTCACATGACTACGGCTATGACAATAAACGTCGCGCTCATTTACGCTGGCCTCCGGCTGCGCGCCTCACATTTACATCTGCCGAACAAAGGCAGAGGATGGACGACGAGATTTAGCAGGGCAGACGCGTCGGACTCGGTGTGGTGTGAATCACGTGGTTTGAGGCTGCGAGCAGACGATCCCTTCCATGTCGTGGCTGCCGGAATCAAACATTGAGTGAGTGGATAGAACCTTTTGGGGGGTGGGGCGTCGGTGGGGGCGGGGGGATTTCGGGGCTGGATTGCAATGGGTCATGTGACGAGAGACGAGACGAGACGAGAAGAGATGAGACGAGGCGTCGGGGATCGAGTCTCCGAGTTCGAGCTGCAGTCTCGGGAAATATGCTCGCAGCGTGTCCCTACTGGGGGCGTGGAGAATATGCTGCGGTGCACTTGTTGACCTGAGACCAGCAGCAGCACAGCGTGCTTGACAAAATGCCCCAAGCCGTGCCTTGATGGACTTGGCAGAACAATGATTCATGCCTTCCCACCGGACTCCTGAGCCGAGAGGAGGAGGAGGAGGAGGAGGAGCCCTGTAGAATTGTTGACTCCGCTTTGATCACATGCTTTCATATCTGCCTGTCTGCCTGCCTGCCTGTCTGTCTGGCCGGATGGTGTGCTAAAGATGCGGGAGGTCCATCACTCCACGCCAACTTGATTTCCTTCCCTGCGAGTGGTGTCAATGGTGAGGTAATCACTGATCCCCTGCTCATTCATGGCCCTTAAGGTCATGATTCCTCCTTGATCGCCAGCAGTGCTCAGACAGACCTGATGTGGTGTTTTTATGCCCACACAATCTGTGTCTAAAGACCACAGAAAGTCAAGCATCGGTGTAATGTAAGCAGCCGCAGCCGCTGCAGCACCAGATGGTCTGAAAATGATCCAGTCTGCTGAAGTGATTCTCAGCGTCGCATCTACTGTATGTGCTGGCTCGCTGCCTGCTCCACTGGAGTAATTGATCAGAATTTCCCAGCAAGTTCAGGTCAGCCACGCCCGTGGAGGGATAGACGGCCTACTCCTGGACCAGTAGTATCCGTGCTCGTCAGTTCTCTTTTCCCCCTCCCTCCCTCTCCCTCTCTCTCTCTCTCTCTCTCTCTCTCTCTCTTGGCCGTTGTCGTTGTCTCAGCTTTCCTCGCCTTCTTGGATCTCAACTTTTCTCGTGCAAATTTTCTCCATTTTCCTCACGTTTTAATCATTGTTTTCACGCAGTATTCCTCCCACATGCTGGTAGGTTGAACACTTTCAACTCCTTAGCTTGCCCACTTCTTTTTTTTAATTTTCCTTCTAGTGTCCTGGTCAAGCACTTTATTCGAGTCAAGTGTCGTAGGAATGGCCTCTCTTATCCGTTTTTACATATATATCCCAAATTGTGTATGTAGTTTGCTTGTCAAATGTTTTGTGTGATTTTGTCCTCGAGTGCATTCACATGAAATGAAAGTCAAATACATAATCATTTGGGGGCCAGTTGCATGACAGCAATTATGCTGCCCTGAGGTATGTTCATAACCTGGCCAGAGGTGTGGAGTCACACGTTTGCCATTAATGTTTTTCAAGGATTACGACTGCTTACTGCATTCACATTGATCGAGCCCGGTGTTCTATGAATCTCCTGAATCTTTTCCCGTGTCCATTCAGCTCTCATTGTTCCCTGCATCTCATAGAAGCCATGAGGGAAGCATGATGCAAGCTTTATTGGTAGGTGATAAGAAACATTTATGAATAATTCGAGCAAAGTTAAGTCTTCCTCCAGCTGCAAGAATATACAGTTGCAGCTTAGAAATAAAGCCAGGATTCGAGCTCACCAATCCTGAGAATATATCAGACTAGATCATATCCATGTCACAGCAATGGGGGATGATAATTCGATGGGTTTACAAGTTCTAGTATGAAGCAGTTACATGATGAGAACAGCTCATCTAAGCTCATTACCTTCGACCATTCAACTCAAGTGACCACTTTTACTGCGACACGCAACAGCTGCCTTCGGTGTGCAGCCTTACCCACATTCCTCACTCAAGCGATCGAGTTGAACTAAAAACTTTATGGGCGCGATTCTGTCATTTCTTTGTACGAGCTGACTTAGATCTGCAAAAAATCCTGTCGTCACCATCAGACCATCAGCCCTGCGGTCATGTCAAAGTCGATAATCTACAAACGGCAGATTCAGTTTCGGCCTAAGAAACTTCTGACAGGTGGTGTGGAAAGTGCTCGACTAGGCCGAGACGACGGTGAGTTGCACCAGTGACATTTGCGCGAGCTGAACACAGATGCAGGAGCCTAGCGTCACTTTCCATCAGAAAAAAGGGAAAACTACAACACATGAATCTGAATCGGATCCGTGCACGTGAGAGTCGTAGTTGTGGCTTTTTCCAAAATACATGAAATGCCAACTGCAGCTGTCAATACTCATTTGCCCTCGCAGTCCGTTTGCCATTAATCATAAATGCTCCTTAAGTGGTCAAACTGCACAGAACGGTTCCCAAACCGACTCCCAAAGATACCACCTCTCGGATGTTTGACTGCTGGGAATCCGTTGGAGAAGCCAGGCACGACTCCTCCAGCAAGAGAGTCTCGGTGTGAGTCTCAGGGGTTTTATCTTCCCAACAGTCTGAGGATCTGCTCTGCTCCTGGATCAAATAACACCGTTGCAAAAAGCGTGCAGATGGAGCTGAACCTCGATCCCGATCGACGCTTCGTGGACTGCTGTGCTCTGCAGGCGAGTCATGGAAGCATGTGTGTCAGATGAGATGAGAGATGGACTCGAGAAATTTTGTTCAATTTACTTGTCCTCGCCTATCTGGGCATGAAGGTGAGAGCGATCACAGGGACTTTAAACCAGGAAAACATCCAGTGTAAGTTTGAAGCATAGCGAGACTGGCGGGGGCGTTTGTTGTCGAGCTTTTAGAGCTATCTCGGCGGAGCTCCCGTCAGCGTGGAGGGAGATGTGTAGTAAATATGGAATGCGGTTCAGCAGCTTTGTGGTTGACAAAGGAGGTCATTAGTATTCGAAGCTCATCCATACAATCCAAATCTCTCCGGGGGAAATTAGTTGCAAAAGTCCTCTGTCAGTTTGTGGACCGAGTCCTGTAAAATGCTCACCGTTTGAGCTCCTGTCAGCAACTGCTATTCAGGCTCAAAGAATGAACTCACTGTCAGCTTTGAAGCTCACATGTGTGATCGGCAGAGCTTGCATGTCCGCTCGTCCTTCCGTCCATCAATGTCTAGAGTATGTAGTGAGCTCTTTTCGGCACTTTTCTTTATCTAAACCCCCGCAACTAATCGCGCAGATGATACAAGGTGTCAGCTTTGCAGTTGACATGTGCAATCACCGGAGCCTGCATGAATGACCTCTCATCAAACTCCCAATGCATCGCTTTCTCGCACAACGAAAGAGCCAAACATATTGCGACTTCGCATACACAGAATCAAATGTATGAACTTGCCAAATGCCTGAGGATCCAACCAGCCTCTCCTGCAACACTAGAGGTGACGATGGTGGATGGACTTGTGAATCCATGATGGATCCAACAAGTGGGTGGGCCATTTCGACACCCTGAGCCCCATTAAAGTTCATCCTTGTAGGGAGTTCGTAGCTCCCCATAGCGCCTCCCTCATCAAATCTGAATGTAGAGAGGATGAAATGGCGTCCTCAGGGTATGAATGTACAGTAGTAGGAGATCGAGAAACTGTCAGCTTTGAGTTTCATCTGATGTACAGTTCCCATAGCCTTTATCCATCCAACCATTCAATGGATGTAGCCTTTACAGGAATCTGAGACTGCTGCTCCTACTCCTTTCGAGAGTTATGAATCTTAAGACGTGACGTGAACCTTCGAGATATAAGAGGCCGAAGGCTTCGGGTACGATGCTCGTGTTGGAGCCCAATCTGAGCGAGGATAGGACGAGCAGCTACGATGGCCACGGTCCGAGCTCCCAGCTCGGAGTCACAGTCTCGTGAGTTTTGGAGTGTAGGGCTCGCAAGGTGCTGGCTGCATCACATACATGTCGACATGCACAAGGCGGTGCAAAAGTCTACACGATCAGGTTGTGACTTAGGCTTGGCTCTCGGACACGATCGATTGGGCCTGCACCTGCGTAACATCAGCTCTGGATGCAAAGATGTGCAGAGGATGCTCGATGAGAAGCAATCGCCAGGTTCAGTCAGTGTCGACAGCTCCTTGTCCGTCCAGACTGTCCTCGACCAAGCGAACTGGAGTTCAACAATATCTCTAGAGCCTCATCTAGAGCCTCGGCCGAGGAAAAATGGCCCCCTACGAGTTACCCCTGTGGCCCAGTCTGCTTCGACCTCACGATGCCATCTCGAAAATAGGCCGAGTCCAGGAAGAGGGGGGACTGCCTTCTAATCGAATGGCTAGCTACTTTCTGGGGCATGGTTTCCTTGAGGCTTCCTTGAAAGGATAGGATCTTGGCCCGTGCTGTAATAGCATAAAATCATGAGATTTAGATGAAAATTATTAAGTTGCGTGCGGTCCTGTGCAACAGATCTAACACCAAATCTAAACAAACAGAGAATAAAAAAAAAACCCACACGCTGAAAGAAGAAGTGAGTGATCGAGCAGAAAGGAAAACCCAAACGTTTGGACGAAATGATCTCGGCTACCTGTCTACTCGGTAACAAGAACATGTCCGCTTCCAATTCGACAAGTGCCGTCAGCAGACGAAGATGGGAATGCTGCTGCTGCTGAGCATCTGCCAAAGTCTCTGTTTTGAACACTTTCAGTTCGAACAATCAATCTGCCTTTAGCCTACACAAAGAAGCATGTCAGTGTCGATCATTAGTCACGGTCTAGAGTTACCTTAATTCACCTAGAGCAGTGTACTCTTCCACGAGTTTTGACATTGATATGTCCATGCCTGAGTGTGTAGTTGGTGGGTACGATATCTTTATTCCCAGCCATCATCATACCCATGAACATCACCACCTCAAACCTCCCAGATCAAACAGGGAAAATCTCCAAGTAACTCGGGCTCTACTGAGATGAAACTGGAAAAGAAGGTAAGTGAAGCTCGAGTGCAGTTTTTCACGGAGGAGTTAAGTCCTCAGCGGTGCTTTAAAACTCGAGAATATTGTACTTTCGAAATATGTGGGCGAGAGAGAGGTTGCAATGCGCATGGGGGAGGCTGTAGTGTCAAGGCCGCAAAAAGAAATCAGTTCACGGTTTGATTGAGTGCAGACAGGCATGGAGTCATTGATTCGAACGGTTGGGTGTAAATCATTGACGCGTTGAGGAAACTCAACCTTCACGAAACAGGGGCACAGTAATGGCATGAGCAAAGAGCAGTGCGGCGGGGCCGAACTTCGGGACACTGAAGATGCTAAAGAGCTGGTCGAGTAGATCAGGCGAGAAACAAAAGCGAATATAATAATTCGGGAGTTTCAACTTGGCAGAGAAGGTGGACTTGAGTGTGAGAGCTGATTCGGCTTATCTCTTGGCTCAGGGCGCTTTTTAACAATTCCCCCTCGTGGGCAGCAAAGTTGCATTTGGATTCCGAGTCAATTTGCAGATGCAGATTTCATCCGTCAATCAGTCAACGATCAGTCAGACTCCAGATGCATATTCCTTGTGACTCGGTAGTCTTGCTTGCAGCACGGACTTCGAATTTGACTTTAGCATAAATGTTCGATCATGTAGCCAACCTACTCCTTTTTCAGCTCCTCCACTTCAACTCGTAATTTGCAAGACTCTCCACCTGAGAAGAATCTAATGAGTGTGCATCACATGAGCTCTCTTAGTTCTGATCTAGCTCAGTGGAGTTATGTGTCACTGCCTCGTCATTTTAGAATCTCATTTGTTTGCTTCACTGAATGCTAACACATGGCATTTCCCTGTACACATGAGCTACTCCCCTGGAAGAGGAATTTCGACTACTTTATCTGCATTTTTACAAGCGTGCAGCTGTACATTCCCTTCAAAGAAATCGAGAATATTCTTTGACTTACAAGTAAGACTTCCGGAGCTCCACCCGGAAGCCACATACCTTCGTGATTACAACTTCGACAACTTAGACCACGCTGAGCACGAGTCTCTTCCATCGTCATGAGAGTGATCACAACTGCACCCAATTTGAAAAGAAGTTAGTTACAGATAGTGTTCTCGTCTATGGCAGGGTGTGGGGAAGAAGCATTCTTCACTTTTCAGACTCGTGATCTCATGATCTCATGGTCGAGCTGGAAGGATAGATACAGCAGGTGCATAGCTCTCACTCACAGTACAACTTCTCAAAATGGAGCACATGAAGTACAATGGATCTGAAGGTTGTATATGTGAGATCAAAACTTTATCAAAACTCTGAACCGGTGAAGGCTCTACTCTCATTGACGAGTGCAATCTGGTGGAATGGATTGAGGATTGGGGGGATGAGAGAAAGAGGAAGTATTTCGTCATTGCTAAGACGGTATCGGGTACCATTGAAGGTACTAGGCTATTGGTTCGTGGTCGGGTCGGGTCGAGGTTGTGTTCGAGGGTACACCTTGTGGAGAAAGGGTATCTACACCTCCCCAACACAAGGTCAAATTGATCGTAGCGCACGTAGGTTTGGTATGGTACTCTGATCTGGATTGATAAAGTCGTGTCATAGGCTCGTGTGTCCTACTGGTTGGAGATACAAAGAACCCGAAAAGTTTTCATCTGCTCGTAAAGTTTGCTATTTTCATATCCTATTGAATGAAAGGAAAAGCAATGTTTCCCAAATGGAACAAGTGCTGAAAAAAGTTTTTAGGAGTATGGGTATGAGTAGCACTGAAATGTGAGAAAGGTGATAGCCACAGTCACAAAAGTTATATCTCTGCTACGTTGCCAGCAGCTTTCCCTTTTTCTCTCAGTGTTCTCTTTTATTTTGCAATTAAATGTTAAAGTATAACATTGATTCATATATACAGAAACAATTATTTATAGTCTTCTCAAAGGGCTCCCACGGGATGAGCTCTGGTGTTGAGACAGACATTTAAAACACAAAAACTTAAATAAGCAGCTTGAGAAGAAACCATAGACTCGTTTCCGAAAGCTTCACGAAATTAATCAACTACTGCATCTACACGTAGCTAGCCGAGGCCATCACTTGAGATCATGCCAACCACTCTATTAGCTCTTTGACTCTAATTGACTGAATATCGGGTCATAAAACTTTCAATCATACTTTCACGGATGTTATGTATAATTACAGTATGTCCTGACTCATAACGTTATTATTTGAAGTAGTTATGACATTTGTTTCAAATTGCCATAAATCAATAATCTGATACTGAACTGATGGAATACCAAATTACGTTTTTTCTTTTCTCATCTCAATATGTTAGACATAGAATTCACGATAAAGATGATTTTGATATATACCTTCACTAAATTAATTCCATATTTATATTTATAGATGACACATATGTATTCAAAATAATCAAACAATTCTTAATAAATATATAATTTGACTATTTGATGCAATCGATACATGGAATTCATTTATTTTGGAAGTAAAGGTCTGAACATCTTGATTGTAAAGTACATGACAATAGTTTTTAATATCTGAATATCTTCATACTGGTGGATTAGTATGTGTATCAGATTAGTCTGGTACAGAGGAATCAAAATCTTCTATGCAACCTAACACCATCCACTATTAGGTCTTCTTCTTTGGGTAATTTTTTCTGGTATCACTTAAATTCTATTTTTTTATTCCTTTATACACAAATTCTTTCTCTTCTATTGTAATCATGGCAGATGTCCTGCACATTAGTCCTTCTATGGGCCCCGCATCAGATAAAAGTTGAAGAACTTAAAATTCGAAGTATGAACAGGAACTTTCAAATATCAGGAGGTACCACCTACTCTTCATCCAACGCATTCGATCATCATCAAATATGAAATATTTCTAATGTGTTCTTTTAGATTGTGACTTTTCTCTCTGAGACAAAACAAAGTATCATCTTCCAATTAACCAATAACAACCGAACTCAGTTAGTGTGTGATTCTATCACTCACAACTTATATTATTTTTTCTGCGACTTCTAGATAACAGTATCATGTCTTCACAGAAGTGAAGAAAGTGGAGAACGTACATGCTATAGAAGCCATAGAAACAGTACAAGTCAAGGGAAAAAGAGCCTCCAAAAAGGTGGGGAAACGCCAAGTGCTGCCTGGCAAGCTGTGCAATCTGGTCGATTAGATCAGGTCACATTAGTTCAAGCGACCACATAACTTGGCATTTGTAAGTTGTAGAAGTGTGAAGCGTTCAAACATCTATGTAGTGAAGTCTCTCTATTATTGGATTGTCTATAGTACTGGTCGGTTAACTACTGATAAAGCAGATTGTAATTATCTGTGAATGCAACAAGATTCAAAGGTTATCCCCTTAGACTCTTGTAAGTAAATAGTGCAGAATATTCTGAACAATATCAGTAAACGCACACGTGTGTTATTGTCAAGCAACTTTGGGAGCCTCCCTGAACTTTTGTTGCTAGATGGTCAGGTTAATCTGAGACAACAGTGCTCGATTGAAGAAATAGCGGGGTGCAACCTCATCTTCTAGCTAGTACATATAAATCCCAAGAGCATCTTTGAGAACCAGATATTGCTCCTCAATTCCCAGAAGGCAGCAAGACAGGAATTCCCACGAGATGCGGGGGAGAACCAGAGACTGAGAAAGGAAAAAGTTCTGCCTGGAGGTTGAAGCTGATACCACACACATCATTTCATCACTGGCTGACGAAAGATATGTAGTTCAACGACCTTCTGAGTGCTGGAGTAGCAGCTGTTGGTCACCGATATGGCACATTCTAGACAAGATTCGAACGTACAATAAGGAAAAACAATTCCTGATAATCGTTAAGAGAAGAAGGCGAAGCATCGTGATGCATATTCAAGATTGTAAGAACTGAAGGACATGTGACAGCCGAAGTCTAGAAACAAGCTGAACATAAGGTCTTGCCCATAGTGACTGATAGAGTATCCATGTGGACGATGTGGTGTACAAGCACTTTTGAACAAGCTCACAGGAAGTATGTAAGAATTTGTCATGTCACATGTGTGACGTTTGCAAGCATGGGCTGTCGATGCAAACTGCCTACGAACATATATCCTGGTGACAAGGATAGTTTAGCAGAAGTATACTGTTTGACATAAGAGACTGAAGTGTTCATCCAACACGGATGGCTTTTTAAACAAGAGTAGGCCAAACTTGAAGCTGTCATTGTCAAAATTTAATGAAATGCAAAAAGGTTATACTTGTCAGAATACTCCCTGCATAGCTTCCGATGGACATTTGCAATAATTTTTCCATGGAGGGCCCGAGCCAAGATCCTGAAGTTGCAGACGAGGCGGGTCTGTGTAACCCTGCACAATAACTTCGTACGAAAAGTGAATGTCAATGGAAATCAATAACTGTTAATAGCGGAATGTGAGACAGCATGGTAGCACATAATATAAAGCTTTGGGGTGAAAGCCTCATATTCTCAATTGTATCTTGAGCTATTTTAGCAAAACTATAAATAAAAATTTGGAGTCTTTAAGGTTGGAACAGTATGACGGGACATACACTCTGGCTCGGAGGGTATTGTAAAGTGATATTGATAATATCTTTTGTTTTAAATTGATGTATCTTTGCTTATGGCACAAGAAAACCTAATATATGAAGGCTTTCATGATAAACCATTAACACGGTCTACTTCATCAAATCTCTTTCTCGTAGCTTGTCTTCTAAAATACTCTTCTTTATGGTAAGCAGCAAAGACGAGACGCATTGCTTTTGATAACATAAACATATATTTGACTCTAAAATATGCTCAACTTTCAAATCAGCGATTTGAAATATTCCATGATATGGAATATTGTGAACCAGTATATACTGATCTCTTGACAGAAGGCTGAGTGATGGATAGCAAGTTTCCACTTAGAATCAAAGGCTTTGGGAAAAGAGTAAGTTGTGGTGGTGACTGCAATAGTGTACTTTAATAATGTCAAAAACTACTTCTAGCAACCCAACCGTCAGGAAGTAGGTGGTGATATTCCTCTGATATGGTGTTTCAAGTCTGTCCAGTGTGATGCAAGCATGAAGACTTAATATCCAAGCACAATATCAAGTGGAGACTTAACAGTTGAGAGTCCTAGCTCGGCATTAGCAAGGCCAGTATAGAAGTTCTGGAAGCCAAACGCGTCTCCATACTTAAAATAGAAATACGTGACATGATTATGTTAGATGTCAGTACTCAGCAGAAGAAATCTACTGATGACTGTGAAAGAAATCAAGCTCTTACCGTACTCATGTGCGCAAAGGCTAAAGTGTGTAGATCGAGAGTTGTAAGTCCAGAAGCTTTCTTAAGCAAGAGAAAAAATATTACGATTTAAAGCTTTGCATGGGGCGGCGATAGTACGGAGTTCAGATGCATTCCAAACTCAAAAGACGATTGTATGCTCAACTAACAGATGTATGATCACTCAAGCCACACGATGTCTTATCTTCCTGCACAGGAGAACAGCGAGCAGACTCGGACCTGGAAGAGACCGAAGGGCAGTACTTGACTTTTGTTTTATAGAGAACCCGGTGTTATTTCTAGAGGTCTCTGGTGGGGGCAAGCAGAGGTTTTCTGTAAGCTACTTCTCCTCTCCTTTTTGACCTTTCTGACGGCATGTCTTTTCTGGGAATATTTTAGTGTCTCCGTTCAGGCGGGCAGGCCTTGTGAGATTTGGAGATCGGTACTTGGACATCATTTCGGTTCCAATCAAATATGACATCGACTTGTCCGTTTTTTCATTCGTCGGTTGTGCAAACCATGGAGCTCATTCTTTTCCCTTTTTTAACAAACAAAAAGGGTGGATTCTGCCATGACGCCGCTCACTCGGACAAGACAGTCGGTCTGGAACAACATCGGTGAGACTTTCACTCGATATTGCATACCGCAGCTGCAAAAAGGGTCCTCAAGCTGCCATTTGACAGGCTCCTAGCCAGGTGATGGAGCCTGCCATGGGCACAAATAATCGTCGAACGGTGTGATGACAGTCCACCGCCTTCTAGACTAGTCCAGGACTGAACCGTGTAGGACCTGGACCCAGGCCTTGGGCTTTCGCGAGGGAAAAGACTGTGTGGAGGGGTTCCCCCACCTCGCGAGAGCAGGGGCGAGGGAACTGAGGACGCGGTGCAAACTTTACAAGCCAGATGACGCGTGGGATATTTGGAGCTAAAGCATACCAAGTTGCTTACACAGCTCTGCGTATCAAACACTGAAACACAGTTTGCATTAAATTCGACTGTAGGCATTTCAAGAGACCTACACACAACCGGAAATCATGGGACTGCAAGCGTAGAAGATGTGGTTTTCCAGAAAGGCAAATATCCCCGAATATCAGAAAAACTCTTTTCATCAGATGCAATGGTACAAGTAATTATGACCCGTCTTCACAAAAAGTTCTCTATACAATAAGGCTATCTCCTCTCGTTTCCCGACGGGATCACTAGATTGTAGTTTCTTACATACCATCCGTTTCCCCTGTTAGCCTGTTTCGTGCACAGCGAAGTGTGTGATATTGGGACAAGTAGAGAGAGGAAGTAGGCTACGGAATATTGGATACAAAAGGGAGTCACAACCTACCCGTCTCCAGGAGATGTCAAAAACCCGGGCGCTGCAGATCGTCATTAAAGCTACGCTACCGTAAGTAGATCAGCACTCGCGGAAGTGACGAGCAACTTGTAAATTGCGCTGTCGAGATTTCTTCGAGTGAAAAAGAATTGATAATTCCCAGCTGAAGTATTTCCTCTATGATAATTTAGGGAAAAAGGTACAGGTTTCTCGTACGTGTTAATAACGACTAGCTTTGTGCAGAAGCCTTAGCTGTTCTGACGACAACCCACTGTCATCTCAAGTCATCGACAATCCACTTCTTTTCGTTGCCCAAATAAGACGGCCTCATCAGAGTCGGATCGTACCTACCAAGAGGGACCTGAGCAGAAGTCTCGAATAGATGCGGTAAGGACGCCACCCGTGGAAGATGTAATATCAAGTCGCTAGCCGAGCCATGCTTGTTGATACATGACATTATTGAATTGAAGGAAGGGTCTCTATGTGGCCTACCACTAAGTGCATGTGGATGGTGGTTTCCTGATGGAGGCATCATCATCTCCAGCTGATCATCACCTAGTCCCATTTCACTCTTTACATGAAAGGGGTTGAAGTGATGGTAGGAGTGGCCATCTGTCAGCACTGATCCGTCCATCATTCCGTGCCCAGATGGATGAGGTAGATGAACTTCTTCAGCCAAAGAGGTAGGCATGGTCCCTACCCTTTGTGCTAAAATCAGATGATCGCTGGGATTTTGAAAGTTGTGGTCTCCGAGAAGGTCGATGGCCAACTGCTCCAGCATCTTCCGATCTGGCTGATATGTACGATCAGGTGGCAGAGCATTCCCAACACCCATGTAGATAGTGCTGCACAGTGGCTTCACGTCCTCCAGATGGTCGTTTGTATACATCAATTCCATGCGATCCAAACCATCGTACTCGTTCAGCTCATCGTGCAGCCTCAGATCTTCGTTGTCGCTGGTGCCGCTTTCATCGCTGACTCTCGCATCCATCACTGAAGAGGAGACAAGAGCAATGATCAGTTTCTAAAATTCGCAAAATAGAACTCGAACACTTTTCCTCATACCTTCTCCATGCACGAAACGTCTGTTTGACATCTTTCACAAATCATCTAAAATGACCACTGTTGCGGAATAATTTTAACAAAAAATAATACCTGAGCTAGGAGAAGCCAGATCACTTGACTGCATCTTCATCAAACGGATTTCGGGTTTTGCGTCTGATAACATTCCACCTAAAGTATGTCCCGGATTCGGTCGCATTTGCATATGTTGTGGTATAATGTAAGGTTGCTGATTCTTCAAAGAATCGTGTGTATTGTTCTGATGTATGGGTTGTTGATGAGCAGGCAGATGTTGATGTTGCGAATCAAACATCGAGTTGGTGTGATCGAAATCCGGATTAGGCCTCATTTGAAGAGTTCCTTCCACCAGACGCTTCAGTCGAGGATCGCACTGTACCAACTTCTCGTAGTGCCTATTAAGAACGCCTTCTGGAAAAATTAAAGAGTGGCGCCTGACACACACAGGAAGATATAGATCAGCATTGCTTTCATGCACGTGGGCACAACATAAAATTGAGATTTGTGAAGCGGCCAATTCGCTACGCATCTTTCCTCTTTCGAGCCCTTCGTACTATGGAAACTGTCACCGCTCTTCAGACTATGAGAACCCAACTCAGAATATGCGACTCACTTATTCCTTGTGGCCTGTCCTTGGGTAAAATCGGATGTGGCCTGCCACAGTGTATGCTTTCTTGGTTGAGGGTTTGTCTCCCGAAAAAACAATGGGGGTCGAGAAACCTGCAAGATGTAAGAAAAGACAGCTTAGATGACTTCTCCACAAATATTCCGGGCAACTGCGACCTTCATCAGCAGAGGTAAGTTAGAGATCAGCGACCGGTATACCTCAATCTCAAGAGAGCCAGGAAGGTTGTCGGGGCAGCTAGCTTTCATTGCAGAAATATCAGACCATTGAATTTCGATCTTACTTTTAAGACCCGTTTCCAGTACCTCCCATACCAGCTTACGCTTCGCATAGTAGCACTTTCCTACCAGGTCTCCCTCGTATCTCGAAACACGCTGAAAGAAAAGAAAAGAAAAAAACATGTTACCATTGAAGGCAGAAATTGTGATGTGCATCAAGACAGGTCACAACAAACACAAATCGTGCAGCGGGATAATAGCAACCTCCAGAGCGTTACTCAACAACAAATTCTTCGACCCAGCAGGCAGTAGCTGCCTCGAAAGCACAATGGCCAATATTATGACTAAGCTCAACCGCCGAGACTACTCACTAGCCAGCTCCTGTTACTGACTTCAGGCAACTTCTGTTAGTACAAAAACATGCTTACCTCCCAGTTTCCGATTTTCAAACTGGATGCAGGAAAGTTTGATGCCTTGAGTTTGTCCTGGTTAGTGGAAGTTGGCACCAGGCACTTTCCAACCCGATTCTTCGCAGCGTCTACTGACAGCGCGTCAGAGTTCGAAGTTCCCTGATCACTTGCAGCACTTTGGGCGAGCTTCATAGATATGAGATCCAAGAGCGAAGGTGTCTTCCTCAAAGTCAATCCCAGAGGACTCGGCTCGTCTAGTGGATTCAGAGACTGCTGCGTCAGAGAAGGCGTCGGAGCTATACGACATATACTCCCGGCAGAATGTTGTGGCTCGCTATATTTCGCGCCAGGTGAGGAGGATACATCCCTCGTCAATGCAGGCCCTGTGGAGCCGGACGCTCCTCTCGGTGACAGCAATTGCGATTGCATCTGCATGATTCGGCACAATATCGTTATGTAAAGCTTTATGCTCCCTTCTATCAGATCATCCAAGAGAACAGACATGGTTTGATAAAATCTGGCAAGCCCAGGAAAACATCAACGCGTCGGTCTGAACTTTCGAAGACGAGCTTCCTGATATGAGGAACAGAGCAGAGCTAGCCATTAAAAAATTTCAGGGACAAGACCATTTCCAAAGTCCACCTCCACAAGCTTCAAGTTGTCTTATACCATTGGCTATACAAACTCAGGTTAAGCCTAGCGAGACCTGCCACGCAAAATAAAACCTCAGACCAGCGGACCAAGCAGACTCCCAACCATCTGGTAGAAAAATTCCGACGACCTCCCGTCTCTCCTCTCACGATTGGGCCTGTTGCAGCTGGTGAGCTTGAGCACCTGTGAGGAGATCGTGTGGACCGAATCCTGGATCTTCGACCTCTTCCGGTCATGAGAGTACTCATCGTAAGCAGCGTCTCTCTCCCGTTCTCGCTCTATGTGCTGCTGGAACTCACGCTTCGGTGAAAGAGAGGAGTGCCGATGAGAAGGACTGCGCCCCAGACCTGTGGCCTGGCCAGACATCCCCGCCTGACCAGACATCCCCGAGTTGTGGTTCTGCCATTGAGGAGCGAGACCGCCCGTAGAGCCCTGGCTCAGAGTCGGAGACTCCGCTTTGACGGTAGCACTGGCGTGTTCAGGTGACCTCGGCTTCACCGGTAATTGGCCACTCGGAACAGCAAATGACACCATTCTCCAAAAGCTTCAAGTCCCTCCAACTCCTAGTTCTCTACTTCGGCACACTATGCCACCCCGACAGTTGAATTTGGGCCAGGTGCAAAGGTGATCAACAGACTGCCTCACAGGAGAAATGAGTGGCAGTTAGGAACTACAGACTTGTCCTTCTGATCTCTACATGACAAAGAGTCGGGCGAGGGCCAGGCTTCGACCGAAGGCGGTGAGGAAATGAGTCATTTCGAACTTCTGGTTTCCGGCTTAAGTGTCCGTGCTACCGATAGTAGTCAAAGAGATGGAAAGAGCATCCCTTCAATCCACTGAACAGCACCACCGTAGACAACAGTGAGGATAATTAGTAAGCTCCCAGGTTAGTTTTACTGCCAGTAGGCCCCGAATGCATTTGGCCTACTGGCAGGTACCAATTATTTGCACCTGAATTGAGGTAGAGCTAGTGTAGCAGACAGGCTGTATGTAAACAAAATGATGTAGCAGCGAAGCATGGATGCAATTGATACGGAAAGCCTGAGGGTAACTCTCAACACAAATGGACTCCAATTCGAAGATGGCCAGGATGGTGCCGGTGGTAGAGACGGGGACAGGCGAGGGGCTCAGAGAAGACGAACGTGGAGTGAACACCGAAATCTATCGACGGCAGCGTGGCTCAGCAAGAACGTAGTAGGCAACGGGAAGCGACTGCGGGTGATGGCGCGATGGAGACCGCGAGCGGAGAGCAGGGACTCATGGGAGAACCACCTCGGGGAATTGCGACCAGAAGTGTGCAGTTGTGGCTCGAACGACTTAAGATGGGACCGGCAGAGAAAAACCGTTCACAGCCTCTCTCTCGAGAAATCACTTGCTCCACTCCACCAAGAAGAATATCATGCGATGATCAAAGTCACGATGAACACGTCCGAAACACCGCTCTACAAGATGATACTTACCACAACAAGCACATCAAAAGCGGAGCCAGATCTCAGTCCCAAGGACTCGTTCACGCTACAGAGCGTGTCCACCAGCACCCACAACGACACAAGCGTCGTTTCCCAATCCAGGAGAGATGAGGCCAGAGACTGAGATTCTGATCGCGCGTTCAACCACAAACCACACCTCAAGGCTTTGCTGCGCCGTTCCCTCTCCCTCCCTCCCTCTCCCCTTCCTTCTCTCCGTCTCCTTGTGTGTGAGAGTGTGTCTCGCTCTCTCTCTCTCACTCTCTCTCACTCACTCAAGAGAACTCTTTTCTTCCTTCCCTCCTTTTCTTCCTTACTGCTCTCCCTCTCCCTCCTCCTCCTCCTCCTGCTGCTGCTGCTGCTGCTGCGGCCCTTCGACTTCGGTAGGCGAAAAACAGACTCTTTCCACTTTCTCGCAGCGCGTCCTCGCTTCACTCTCGCTCGCTCTCGCACGGAACGCTCTGTCTCTCACGGGAGCCCAAAAAAAAACTGCAGGATAAGAGGAAAAGGAGAAAAGAGAGCGCTGGGCCCTTCTCGCCTGCTTTGTACTAGTGTCTCTCACCTTCCACTCATCATCCATGATCCGCAACATTTGCCCATTTCCTTTTCACTCCTCCTCCATTTTCCCCTCTCTCCCTCCCCGTCCGCCATCTATCTCTCTCACGACTTCGTCGCCATGTGCGCGCGATCGATCGGTGTCGCTGCGAGCGCTTGTTGACCTCTTGTTGTAGACTTGCACTCCTCCTCCAGCAGCCTCTTGGCCCCTTTTCTGCTTTTGCTCCCGAGTTGCCGCTGTTCTGTCGCTCGCCTCTACATGTGGCTCCCGCCGCGCCCCCTCCCGACCTCTTCTACCACCCGCTCCTCCTACTACTCCTCCACCCCGCCCGCCAGCCAGCCAGCCAGTCCAGGCCAACTCGGTCCGGTCCGGTCCGCCTCAGGCCAACTCGTCCCGTCCGACAGTCAATGGGCCCTCTTCTTCCCTTCTCCCCTTCTCTCCTCCCCCGCGCTGATGCCAAAAGCTCTTCCTGCCCTGCCCTGCCCTGCCCGCCAGCCCTCTGACGTGTTTCTGCCCGCCCACAAACTACTCGTCCCTGCCCCTGCCCGCTGCTGCTCCGGTTATCAGAGCGCTCCGTGGATCCTCTTTGAATGGACACTTGCTCTTTGTACGCTGCCGAGCTCCAGGTTCAGGATCCGCGCTCGCTTTCGTCTACGCCGGAGCCACCGTCACTCGCTTCTACAGCCCGCGGCGTCCGGTAACAACTTGCGATCCGCTCTGCCTCCGCTCGCTATAAGAGCGAAGCCGTGGGGTGGTCTAGTCCGTCTGAGCAGGTCCAAGGAGGCCGTGGTTAGAATTAAACACCCTCTCTCTCTCCCTCTTCTCTTGCTCGCGCGCGCGCAGGCCTATTTGCATCAGGTGTTCTTTTCCAGAAAGTGAAAGCAGCGGCGCTTTACGGTATGTGAACGGTGAGACAGAGCGACTGCATAGATTTTCACCGAGCCCGATTAGACTATTGTTTTTCGAATGAAGTGTCCTATCATTTGAAAGCGAAGCGACGCTTTTATAATACTCGAGTTTTGGCTGAGAAATTTTCCGAGGGATTTTATTCTTTTTAAGGAATATATTTCTTCTAAAGAATTTCTCCCCGTTTTCTATCGCATAGAATAAACGCCGGATATTTTGGAAATTTTCTGCTCCGGCCTAGAAGAATATAGAACTGGCAATCGTACTTGTCTGGGGCCATAGCACGCATAGGTAAAGAAAGAGCCATACGGAAGGAGGTGATGCGAGGGAGTTTTACAACGCCGCAGAATCACCCTGTAGCCAAACTGCCGCACAACATAAACACCGATTTATTTAATGTTTATGACGTACAAATGCGTCCCATATTATTTTCTGGCAGAAGATTGACGATGGGAAATGCTCCGGGAAGATGCCGCTCCTGTACACGGGCTGCTCTCGTAAAACATGCTCTTCAAACGAGCCGTCCGAGGAGTAGCTCTACGACTGGGCCATAGGCCGACGACGACCTTCGGCCCGAGCTCCGATCCGAGTGCGAACGAAGGTTCGGAATCGCTGCGCCGAGCCGCGAGCCGTGCGATCGGCGTCCGTCGGTCGGACCGGTCCGGACACGAACGGCTGCTCCGTCGTCCTTCGTCTACAGTCGGAGCCACTAGCACCATTCCCAGTAGTGGTAGACACCTTTGCACTATACGTAACTGTCTATTTATGGGTCAAAGCATCTTCGGACGCAATACGCCTGGTTCGAACATCCACGGCTCACGCCTGCTCTGCATACCGCGTATCGTGGAGCTCTGAACGAAGTGGACCGCCACTACGGACACCGTACACAACCATGATACCATCATCCAGGTCTGCTACGTGACGTGTCTCTGCATGACCGCATCCCTGGTACAGTCTGCCTGCTCTGTCTTCAGTGGAAGTATTCTATGTTAGACGAAATAGGTAAAAGGGTCCACCTTGTGCGGGAAATTTTCAAAATTAGTATGTTAATTCGGAGATGTTATTTATCTGCTCGACGCAAATATAGACTCGGCCTGTGTACTTAGAACTGAGACATGTAAGACATCGCAGTTACTACTGGCTGAAAGCGTAAGATCCAAGTCCACGTACAGTACATTGATACCGTATGAGCATTAGAAGTTTCTTGAGTTAAGAGTAACTATCGCATTCAGGTAGTTCGTTGTTATTACTGGGGGGTTTGACTCTCGGCGACTGAAGAAAGTGGATAAAGTAGTTGGATAATCTGACTTTAATCGTTGTGTCTCTTTCATAATCGAGCGAAATGTCGATGTGTTTATTCCTCCGGTTCAAATTTAGTACAAGCGCTACTCAGTTCGAACTCAAAACGCGAGCAAACGAGTCACCAGAACTCGACACGTGTGTGAAATCGGCCAGTTCTTGTCCTCTTGGTTTGTTTTAATTAGCAAACAGATGCGGCATATGAGCGTGAGTTTTTCACATCTTCTTTCTATCCATGGGTTACAAATATGATCGACCTTTTCAGATGTAGCAACTCCCAAATTGATCTCAGCTTAGCATGTAGCATCTTGTAATCATAGTTGTTCTACATGATTGGACTACATTTAAATTTTTCGTTACATGTACAGAGAGACTCATCTTTGATAGTCTTGATTCGTCAAATGAAGATAAAAAAAATTACATCGTCAATTTCATTGTTGTGTGTTTCAAAATGATTATTTTTGGCACTAGTGTTTAGCTATTTGCCACGCATCGCTTTACAAGTGAGATTTAACGTAATGGGTTTGATCTTCGCCACATGTTACGAGCTGGAACTTCTTGCGCTTTTATGTTGCCAAAAGGTGGAGGCCACCGGATCCCGACTCCATAGTCCAGGAAGGTTTGTTGTTGGGATCTCTCATAATTGGATGAAGCCCACAGACTAAGACACCGGAAATGTTCAAGGACAAATTAACGAACCTGAAGAGATGAACTGTAATTAATGAGAAGAGACAGACTGAATGCAAAGTCAGAGCAAATGTGGAAAGTTTAAAAAGCGATGACCTTTTAGCACAACACGGGGATGGGATTTCCTCCCGTCCTTAATGACCCTAGAACCAATGCATCATTAGGTGAACATGGGGCTCGAGTGCCCTAACAGTTGCACTATCAAGCAAGCTAGAATCGTTTGGTTTCCTCTGAATTTTGGGAAAACTTTCAAAATACTTGGAGACTCTCCATTTGAGACTTTGGAATCGTGAGCCGAATACAAGTAGGCTGTCCTTGTGATTTATCATTTACTAAAGGCTACCTCCCTCGGCGATGACTGAATGACCCCAAATTTGATACTCTGCGTGTGTCACCACTAGCTCAGAATTATTCAAACATATAGGATAACAAGAGTGGGAATATAGTATTCTAGAACAAAGGCGGACATGAGAGAGAGAAAGCCAGAGTCAAAATAATAAAATTATATGATTATGCTCTGTCACAATCATATCATTTCACAATTATTGAATGATATCGATATCCACATAAGCTGAATACTAAAATTTATTATGATGTTTTATTACTAGAATCATAAACACGGAGTAAGGAAAGAAGGCTATTAACTATATCATGTGAATTGCAATAAAGTATATTGGCCAAACTAAAGATTCGTAAGACATGCATTTGTACATCACAACAATCAAAAAATCATGATACTTTTAATTCTAATATTAATTTTTAATTTCTTATACATTTATATTATATTTAACACTTACACAATAGACTCCAATCATAATTCAAAGCAGATATTACTTTGGACCAATAAAGAATCCAAAGTTCTGCAATAACGGATGTTGCACCATAGCTCCACTCTACTAGGTTCAACATTGATATTTCCATTTAAACACCCTATGTTCCAATAGTGCACTCAAGCCTAATTGCTCTAGTGACCCGAAGACAAGTCTGGTGCAAACCACGGTAATTGCACTACGGCTCGGCCTATGTACACCTAAAACTGAAGTAGGGGTACCGAGATATAAGTTGTGACAAAATAAATCGATTATTTATACATTAATCACCAACCGAATCAAATTGGAAAGAAGTCTAAAACTCCAGAGAAACTGTTTCTGATTTTTATTGGAAATAGCATACAGCCGATTTCTCTGGTACAAGGCTCGATTCGATGGCTCCCAACTCAAGTTAGGGCAGTGGACAGTTTCTAACAGAATTGGCACGGTACGCCGAGCCGCGAGAACCAAGCAACAAACCACGCGGCAATTCCGTCCGCCTCGATAAATTATATCCACAGTCGTATGTACAGTGGCTTCCACTGCCTGTACGTCTGGGTTTGGGCTTCAGGGGCCTACCAGTCTGCAATACGAAAGAGAACTCATCAGCTCTTTGTCCAATCATTCAGCTCTGGATGCGAAATTTGCTAGTGAACGACCACTTCCTTACTCTGCTTTAAGACACCATTGGTGGTAGATAGGGAAAATGCTTGAGACTCTAGTGCTTGCGAGAGGTAGTGCTCCCAAACAGCTATGAAAGAGATTTGCATCTTGCCTTTATTTGCATCTTTCCTTAGCGCATGATTAATGTTCCTCACGAAATACGGTAAAGTGATGAAAAATGATTTGCGTGAATCTTCTAGCTCATCTAGTCCGTATATCTTCTCGGGAGACTATTTAATTTCAGCTGGGTTCGGTAGTTTCCGACTACTATGGAAGACTTGGCCGGATGCAGCAGTCAAGATTGACTCAAGGGTTTCATCCTTGCATCCAAAAGAAAACTGATCTGTATCCCCAAACATAAAATCTGGGCTGAAAATTTTGGCAAATACTTTTGCATCTGTATGCAAAAAATTGAGAGCCTTCGCTGCAAGTGTATGAGTGGGAGTCGTAGATTGTATTATATTTTCTGCTCAGCCTCCTAAGCGTTTTTGTCCCTTTTACAGGAAATTCATAGTTATGAATTACATTGGAAATGTAAAGAGAAGATGCAAAGGATAGCAAAGACTCCTGAACTACCAGCGAAAAAGTCTTTATCATATCGTCACAACCATGATCACAACACGTGAATATTGATACAATTGAGAATAAGAAAGTAAAATCCTGGAAAAAAAATTAAACAAAAAAATTCACGGATTCATCTATTTTGGAATTATCTGCACCCAAAAGAAATGAGAATGAAACAGATGCTCAGCTAGGCCATTTGGTAGGTTTGAAATGCTCTAATTTTTTAAACCAAATCGTTTCACCCACAAAATAAAAACAGCACGTGGTCTTTATAACACGAGGCCTTCCATAAAGTTCATGATTACATCATAATCTCATAGCGTGTCCAAGGCATGGATATGAAATCCCTCTAGCTCTACGACTTATCATGACAAGAGTCGTC